CAAGCACGAAGCTCAAGCGCGAGCAAGCCAGCGAAGCAACCCGCGAAGGCCAGCGACGCGGGCCCGTCCCCGGTGCCGTCGCAGGCGCGCAGCTGCAACCACTTGAGGCTCCCGCACCGCCGCCACAGCCATCCAAGCCCGCGGTCGCCCGAGCGGATGCCGCAAAGCGACAGCTTCTCCAGCGGCAATGCCCCTGCGGCCTCGGCCTCGCCGCCGCTGTCATCCGAGCTCGAGCCCGCGGAGTCAACGCTGGCGGCGGAGTTAACGAGGGCGAACGACTTGAGGCGCGGCAACAGCTTGAGCCAGCGGAAAGACAGGGGGCGGACAGCGGTGAGGTGGAGCGACGTGAGACCGGAGAGCGCAGGGCAGGCGGCGAGAAGCGCGGCGGGGGAGACCGCCCAATCGGGCAAGAGCCGCAGCGTGGAGAGCCGGGAGGCAGCCGGCGCAGCCGCGACGGCGAGCAGCACGGCGTCGGCGTCGTGGACCGGCGTACCAGCGGAGACCACGGTCAGGGCGGCGAGGAAGGGGTAGTGCGACAGCAGGGTGGCGAGGGTCGCCGCCGAGGAGGCAGGCAGGCGGAGGCTGAGGGACGACGTGGCGGCCCTGAGGAGCGCAAGCCAGCGGCGGGAGACGAGGGACACGGCCGGCGCGGCGGAGGGCGGGAGAAGGCCGAATACCTCCAGCAGCAGGTCGTCGCAGAGCGCGGTGTCCATGCTGCCGCCGTAGCCGACGGCGCGACGGGCGCCGCCGCCGCTGCCAGCGGCGGCGGCGTGGCGGGAGTTTGTTGGCGCCGTCGGTGCGTTGGGGTGGGGGGCAGTCAAGCCATCGGATTGGTGCACCCGGGCTGCCGCGCGGGTTGGGGAGAGAGGTAGGAGCGGTGGTGGGGTGGGGAATGGAATTGCTGTGGATTGGGGAAGGTGGGGGGTAGTTCTTGTGCTTCTGTCGAGCCGTGCTGAAGTTTCACGTCTCTAGCTAGAATCTTCATTGCGGGCCCCACCGGCCTCCCGTTGCACCAATTGCAGACGCAACGGGGATAGATAACGCTCCACGGCTACAAGCCGGGACCTTTCCTGTCTGCAACTGGAAGCGAGCACATCAGGAAAAATGGCAGCGCCACCTCTCGGCCTCGCCTGCAGGGTCGCCGGCGCCTTCGCCACCCCCGCCGTGGCGCATTCTGGCTTTTGCCCCCGACGTCTCGGCCCTGGTCTCCTCCCTTCAAAGGTTCGGGCTTTTACTTGAGCATCTTCCCCTCGTTTGCTGTGCTCTGTTCAATCGTGGCCTTGTGTGTGTGCAGAAATGGAGCGGGGTGGTGAGGATGGGGGCGGTGGTCGGAGGAGGGCAGGAGGGAGAGGAGGACGAGGAGCTGAGGCAGACAAAGGAGCAGGCTGCCGCCAGGAGGCGGTGGGAGACCCTGGTGAGGTTCCTTCACCTCGTTTGTGGACTGCTCATTTTGTTTGCGGTGCAAATTTCTCCTGAAGTTTCGTTTCAAAAAAAAAAAAATCTCCTGAAGTTACTCTCAGCTCGAAACTGCAGTACCGCTGGATTGTTTTTTTTTTTCCTTTTCTTTATTTTCGTGTAAATGCAATGTGTGCTTGAATTTAGCACCATCACATTATATGATCTCTGTTTCTTTGGTCATTTGCCAATTTCGAAATGTTGAGCTGCTGTTTATTTGTATGACTGGGGAATGCTTTGCCTGAAGATTAGGGAGCAGAAAATTAAAACCCTTACACCGAGGGAAGCTGGTTATACGTTCAAACTGACAGACAAGGCTCTTCTAGATGTTAGGCCCTCGAACGAGCGTCAAAAGGTCTGTATTTCTACCAGTCATTTTTAACACATAAAACACTTCCCGTAAAAAATCACTTCACCTATATCTTAGGTGCTTGATTTTTTGTTATTATTCACGCAATATGCAATTTTGTCATCGTTTGGCTTAGAAAAAAATGATAATTGTCTTTTGTGAGTTGTCCTTTTAATTGTACTAGTTGTTTGTGTAAGATTGTTGCCTTAAATTTTCTAAAAATTCAGGCATCTGAAATATTTCCCTAAAAAATACAAAAGTTTCTAGTGTATTTTGTTTTGTGTTTGTCCTTGTTTATTCCAAAACTGGCGTGTTGCAGGCTTGGGTGAAAGGCTCTACCTGGATTCCTATATTTGATGTGGATACATCGGTCGATCTGGGCGGACTTAGCAAAAAAGTCAGCAACTTTGTAATGGGTATGCCACTATTACCATCAGAATCTAAATCATGTCCTGACTCTTGCACATTGTGTTGGATTCTGCATCCAAATTTAGTCTTGCTTTACATATGCCTTTTTTCCTTTTCTAGATTACTAACTGATCTCTCTTTAATACAATGATACACAACTCTCATGCGCGTTCGAGAAAAAAAATATTACTAAATTGAAGACTTCAGTCGACTAAACTCTTGAATGATTGTTGCGTAGGTGGCTGGTGGAGTGGCAGCTCAACATTGTCATTTAATAAGTATGATTCACATCAACTGAAGTTGAAGTATCTTGTTCTGATCCTAGTAGGGTGATTGAGACTGATTGTAGATGAAATTGGCAGGAACTTTGTACAGCAGGTTGAGGAGAAGTTTTCAAAAGATACAGATATAATACTAGTGTGCCAGAAAGGACTTAGGTGATTTCTTAATCTCTTACTGAAGCTGGATTCTTCATTCATGTGAAGCAGCCAAAATACAGTTTATATTTTTCAGCTTGCTTTCATTTGGATAGCACATTCAGTAATAGGGCCTTTTCGGGAGTACTGTCTTGGTGTTTCAGTGTTTCTGGATCAATGTCTAAAGTCATCTATTGTTTTCCTTTTTACATAAGTTCATACATTTGTACATCTTCAAGTTGAACTGTTTAGCCTGGCAGTTTTCTATTTGTGTTGACAAGTTCATCCTATTACTCTTCCTGGGGAAGATTTCATGTTATCTGTGCTATTGGTACTTTGTTCCACTTCCACCATATTGCAGAATAAATGAGAGCCTACGTGCATTATTCTTATTTTTTTAATGGTTGTTTTGATTTTCCATTTTCCTCCAAAACGTGGGCAGATCACTTGCCGCCTGTGAACAGCTGTACAATGCTGGTTTTGAAAATTTGTTCTGGGTACAAGGAGGCCTTGAAGCTGCCGAAGAGGAGGTCGTACCTTGCAAAAACAAATCACCTATTGATCCCTTGATTTGTTGCTTGCTTGTTTTTTTAGAATATACTGAATCTGTCATCCTTTTCTTTCAGGATTTTGAGAGGGAAGGTTCCCAGCCTTTCAAGCTTGCTGCAATTGGAGGGGTTTCTGAATTCTTCGGGTAAGTTCCATGACCTGAGCTATGCCAGCTGTTGTACTTTGACCAAAATGCGTGTTACACATGTTCTTGACCAAAATGCGCTACACATGTTCTGAAAACTGAAGCAGCAGTTATGTATGAGCTTGCTACTGACTTCAAACCTGAAAGGCTGACGGGAGGTCAGATTATACCATACGTATTACACATGTTCTTGAGCGTGATAGCGACTTTAGACCTGATAGCAGTTAATACGTTTCATCAGCATTATAGGACAGCTATTCCATTAGCTACTAAACATAGAACAGTCAGCAAATCGCTTGGAAATCTCTTCCCTGCAGGTGGACGGACCAGCAACGCAGGCAGGCCGCAAAGGAAGGACTGGGATACCGGCTTGTCTTCACTGGTCGCTTGGTAATTCATCCCAAGGAGATGGCCTGTCGAACTAATTGCTTTGCAAGGGAGAGGGGATTGACGTGTTCTTTCTCCTGGAACTTCAGGTCGGAGCACTGGTGCTACTTGACGCTTTGTTTCTAGGCGCTCAAAGGATCGGCCCTCTGCTTCAAGAAATGCAACCGCGTTGATCTCCGCAGAACGCTCCTGTAGCCAACCTAGCTCTGCAAACGCGTCCGGTTGGGTTTTCTGTGTCGTCAGAGACGCCATGTCCGCTGTACAAGTGTACATGTAATTCGCAGCAGGGTCTTCGAGTGTCATGGCTGCAGACAGGCTGTGCGTATTATTGTTCGCTGATTCGTGGTGAGATAAAAATTATATGACTTAGATTGATAAGTTCAAACGAACAGCGTCATTTGTTTTTGTGTGTACGCGGAAAGAGGAGCGCTTGGCACTTTGTAGCAGTTCAGCACGGCAAAAACAGAAGAAATTCTTTTTGGAGAGGCCATGTCTAATTCCATCCTGCTAGGAATCAATTCGGAATATTCCTGTGAGATAATGGAGCATGAGATGCCAGCCAACCTAACCAGGGTTTACACCCAAACCAGGGGTCGCGCGGCCCCCAACAACCCCGTTTCGTACATGTCTCACTGACCAGTGGGCCGCCAACGGCCAGCACACAAGTCTCCGGGTTAATCCATGGCTGCAGACAGGCGGTGCGTAGCAGGCCCGCAGCGCGCATGTTTTTTCGCCTTTGGGGTTGGGTCTACCGGACGAAATACACAGAAAAATAGCCGGAATGGAAGAGAATGGTGCGCCAGTGTGGAAAAAAAGGCTCTTATTTTATTTTATAAAAATAAAAACAAACTTTTAATAACGCTACGCACGGAAGAGAACTGACCGGAGCAAACGCTTTGCCAAACCGGGTGCGCTGGCCGCTTTGGCCAAAGCATATCCACGCCCCGCGAGAGACGCGGCAACCTCTCTCACCGATACGTCTGCCAACCCTTTCGTAAACGTCCACTGACATGTGGGCCTATGTGTTTCTCTGGCCCCGGACCTACTGCCACCGAACAGCGTCAGCGACACAGCTCGTTTTTGCGTATACACGAGCTCCGTGTGCCCGTGTCCGATCCTGCCGCCACCACCCAATTCCCCTCTTGTGTCGCCATAAAGCGCGGGGGGCCGCTAGGGTTAGCGCATCGGAATCAATCGTGTTCCTCACCCGCACGCCGAGACCAATCCCAAACCAGCCGCCGCCTCCGCTCCCTAGCCTCCGGCCTCCCCTCCGATTTGATTCGAGGGACCGATGGAGTGCATCGCCGAGATGCCCCGCGCGCCGCTGGACAGCCGCCCGCGCAAGCGGCCGCGGCTCGGGTGGGACGTCGGCCCCGCCGAGATGTACCAGGTTACGCGGCCGCGGCTCGGGTGGGACGTCGGCCCCGCCGAGATGTATCAGGTATAACCTCTTTTACCGTCTCTGTTTCCTCTCGCGGATCTATCGTCGGGGGTGTCGGTTTTCCATGCGCAGCGCGTCTATTGGTGCTCTTGTTCTAGGGTTAAGTGGTGGATCTGTAGAATAGCAGTACTCGTCGCCGTAGATTGAATCGTTTTAGTGTCGATCTATCATGTTCCTCGCAGATCTGTTACTATTGATAGGTTTAAGGGGCTGATTTGTTCAGCGTATGATGGGTGGTAGGTGTGGTTGGCGTTGCTCTTTTTCGGGTCAATACTATTATTTGGATTGGTATGGGTTGTATAATCATACTGTTTCTTCGTTATACCTTTTGTAGGTAATAATCTGCTCGTCCTATTTTGTGTTTATAGGTAGACTTTAATTTACAAATTAGAGTATAGGTAAATTTGTGTAGACAATGAAGGCGAATTTACTGTACCATTTGAAGAACTTGGGAACTTTTAAATGATTTTGCATAATGTTTTGAGACAAGAAAAGTACCTTCTCTTTCTAAATTGGTATTATATAAGCTGGCTATAGCAGGATGTTGTGGTGATTTGGTTGCTTAATTGCTCAGTTAGATCGAAAATTTATTGGTTCTTCTTTCCATGTTCAGTTAGGACTTTGTGGACAAGAAGTTGTGAATGCTCTCAGCGCTGCAGCGTTGGGCCTCTCTTCAGGCTGTGTTTCTTCTCAAGTCAACCAAGAGCAGCCTCGTGATGGTTCCCCTCCTCTGAGGGAAGATGACAAGGATGGGCATTATGTTTTTGCTGTTGGAGATAACCTCACATCTCGCTGTAATTACCTGCCCTTGATGCCTCTTGTTGCCCATACAAATGAGTTTCCATGGCTGGTTCTTATGGATTGCTTTACATGTTTGCAGATAAGATCAATGCAAAAATGGGAGAAGGTCAGTTTGGATGGCCATGTCTTCTGAAATAATTGATTAACTCACATTGGGCATGCTGTGCAATACATGCAGCAAGTTATGTTCATAACTGAATGTGTCTGGAATACATCAGGTACCTTTGGTCAGGTGTTGGAATGTTGGGATAAGGAAAGGAAAGAAATGGTGGCTATCAAGATCATCAGGGGCATTAAGAAGTACAGGGATGCCGCAATGATTGAAATTGGCATGCTTGAGCAGCTTGGTAAATATGATGAAAGTCGATCCAGGTGAGTCTGCTGGTTCAGTTAGCACCTCTCTGTGTGCTTTACATTCATAAGATTGCTTGTATATATAAGCTGGTCTATTTTGCAGTTGTGTTCAAATTCGGAACTGGTTTGACTATCGTAACCATATCTGTATTGTAAGTACATTGTTAGATTATGGCAATTATGAACTGACCCAAAAGATAACCATGTGGTGCTTAAACGTTGGTGAATTTGGATTAATGGTGAGCAGGTCTTTGAGAGGCTTGGACCAAGCTTATATGATTTTCTGAAGAAAACAATTACCGCTCATTCCCAATTGCCCTAGTTCGGGAGATTGCCAAACAACTGTTGGAATGTATAGCATGTGTGTGCACAGTTCTTTCTATTACCCTCCTGCACTATAATGCATATACATTAGTTTTGTGCATTATCTGTGCTGCATTGCAGCCTGTCATTAATCCATTACTCCTGCTTATAAAGGAATATCTAACATCATGGGATGTTTATGTATTTACCCTCTCTCTGTAATGTGTTGCAGTTATGCATGAATTGCGCCTCATACACACTGATTTAAAGCCTGAGAACATTCTCCTTGTTTCTCCGGAGTACATTAAAGTGCCCGATTACAAAGTATATTTTGTTCTTTTTATTTAATTCACCTGCCTAAGATCTACCTTGTGCTGTGCTTGTTCATTTCTGTTGTGTTCGTTAGTGAACATTGAGAAAATATGGTACTGATCCACTTTTTTAATTTGATAGGTTTCATCCCGATCCCCAAAGGAGGGGTCCTATTACAAACGGTTGCCCAAGTCTAGTGCTATCAAGGTAATTGATTTTGGTAGCACTACCTACGATCAGCAGGATCAGAGTTATGTGGTATCGACGAGGCACTATCGGGCTCCAGAAGTTATATTGGGTATCTACTGTGTCCAGTGAAAAGCTTTTCCTAGTTCAGCCTGATTTGGTGACATTTTATGACTGCGTGGATCTTGTGTTCAGGACTTGGATGGAGTTACCCATGTGATATCTGGAGTGTTGGTTGTATTCTTGTTGAGCTTTGCACGGTATGATTCTTGTGGGCCTCGGTTTGATTTGGCATGTACAAGTACAGGGGATCTGAGCTACCAAGGTTCTGCAGGGTGAGGCGTTATTCCAGACTCATGAAAACTTGGAACATCTGGCTATGATGGAGAGGGTTCTTGGACCTTTGCCGTACCATATGCTTAAGAGGGCAGAGTATGTTTCGTACCAATGTAGTCTGAACATCAATGCTGTGAGGTGTGGTCGGTGTCTTGTGCTTATTAATCCTTGTTGTAGTCGGCACTCTGACAAATACATCAGAAAAGGACGCCTGAATTGGCCTGAGGGTTGCACTTCATGGGAGAGCATGAAAGCTGTGATGAAATTGTCCAGGCTTCAGGTATGTCTTCGCAATGCTTGACAAAACATCCATTTTAGTCTGTAGCATGTGAAACTGATGTCTATGTTTATGAGCAGAATCTGGTGATGCAAAATGTGGATCAGGCTGCAGGAGATTTAATTGACCTTCTGCAAGTGCTGCTGAAGTATGATCCAGCAGACCGTTTAACAGCACAAGAGGCATTGAGGCATCCCTTCTTCACCGAAGGGTTTGGGCGAAGATGATATTCCTTGCAGCCTTCTTCACCGAAGGGTTTCAACGAAGAAGATATTCCTTGCAGCCGATCTTGTTTGTCTGACTTGATGGTCTTTGTATTTGACAGTCCGTACTTTTCTCTTATTTTTTAACTGGTTTTTAACTGGTCAGTGGTATATGTACAGTAGACCAGTCTGAATGTAAACCTGTAATGGAGTTGTTTCAATCTTGTTTGAAAAAAACATTGGGTAACTAAAGCTGTATCATAAGGGAAGCCAAATGGATACATTTGACTCTAAATCCTGACTGGCATGTCAATGAAAGTTCGTTTTTGAGCAGAATGTGCTGGCGTCATATATGAAAACTCACATCTATTTGGAGTTGTTAGTTGTGCAAGGTGTCGCCCAGTAGTGTTCAGCTAAATCGACGTCAGTTGATTGGCCGCATTTCTTCTGAGTTATAGTTGTGCAAGGTGTTCATGAGCGAGCTCGAGTCGTTAGTTGTGCAACTCGAGTTGTTAGTTGTGCAAAGTGTTCATGCGCGAGCTCGAGTTTTAGTTGTGCAAGGTGTTCATGCGCGAGCTCGAGTTTTAGTTGTGCAAGGTGTTCAATGTTCATGTGCGAGCTCGAGTTAGGTGTGCAAGGTGTTCATGAGCGAGTGTTTGTGCACGATTGCTATTTGGGTCTGTAGTATTTTTTTTAGTTCTCCACTCACCTACACTACAAGTAGTCAAGTAGCCAACACAAACTCATTAGGGCATTCTCAACACACAGGGGGCGTTCTCAACACATATACTCATTAGAACGTCCTTAACCCAAAGCCAAGTAGCCAACACATACTCCATAGGGTGTCTCCAACGGTGCTCAAACGCTAGCTCAACGCATACTCCTTAGGGCCCCCAACAACAACCGCAACGGCGCTCAAATCACCACCTCAACACACAGCCAAGGTAGCCAACACATACTCCTTAGGACATCCCCAACAGCATCTCCAACGGTGCTCAAATCGCTAGCTCCAGCTCTGGTGGAGACGCTGCTCAAATCGCCAGCTCAACACATAATCCTTAGGGTGTTCCCAACGCTCAAATCTCCAGCTTAGCACACTACCAAGTAGTTAGCACATACACCATAGGACATCCCCAATAGCGTCCGCAGGGGTGCTCAAATCGCCAGCTCTAGCAATCGCTAGGCTCGCACGTACTTTGAAAAAACTGTATCATCATCAACGGAGGACTAACGCTCGGACGTTCGGACGGACGCCAGCATCTAGACGCCCACGGCTGCTCTGTTCCCGCGCGTAGTGAGCAGACGGCACGGACCTCAGCTTGCTGCGGGGCCACCATGCGGGCATCGCTGTAACACCTCTTGTGTTTTGACCTATCATTAAAATTTGACATGTCATCATATGCATTGCAAAGCATTCATAAAGTAGAAAAATTTAAATGCATTCACTAAATAAGCTTTATTTCATAGTTGTTATTTTATGTGATGTAATGTGATTCGAAACTCTGAATGAAAATCATTACCACAAGGGTCAAATTTCATGTGATCATGTGAGACCATGTGTCATTTGACTCAAATAACCCTAATGGGCCATGTTACTGGTCAAAAATCAAAGTTAAGTCAAAAGAAAAACAAATTAAATTTGAATTCAACTTTAAATTATAAAAGTCCTTTTTGCCCCTTTTGTATATTTCAAAATCCATTTGGAATTTGGGGTTGTGATAAAAAGCAAAGTTGAAGCTTATTTTATAAGGATCAACTTTGGTATACAAAGTTTTTTAAAGTTCACATATAAAATTTGAAGTAATTTTGAAATGATTCAAATGATCAAATGCACCCTAAATTCAAATTTTAAAATGTTGGCAGAATTTAAAAATATTCCTTGAAACAAAGTTGTAGAGTTTGAAAAGTTGAGCAACTTTCATTTTTGGAGATTTTTAACTTCTTTAGAAAATTTGGGAGTAGTTTGTAAAATGAGCTCAAATGGCAATTCAGAATTGTGGGTGAATAAGACACAGTCACCACCCCCACCGCCGACGCCCCTTTCTCCGCCTTTCCAGTGCGTCTGCGGTCACCCATGCTTCTTGCCGCCTGCACGAGCAGCTCACTGCGTGTCGTTCCTCGCACTCTTAGCCACGCTTATAAAGCTCACGCCGCGTCGACGACTTTGATTTCTCTCCTGTGTTTCCCGACGCGTCACCTCGGCTCGTGAGCTCTCATCGCCTCCTCAGCGCAAGATAGCCCCGGAAAAGCAGTGTCTCATTTTCGCCTGCTCCTTGCGTCTCCAACCGATCTGGTTCTACCACTTGAGTCCACCGAGAACAACCGCTAAGCGAGCCTTCTTCCTCGCGCGGTAGGTGACCTTACCCAAAGCTCCGTTTCACCGCCGAATGGCTTCATCCGGTGAGCCGTTGTTCGTGCTTGTTGTCTCTACAGCTTCGTCTCGACGCTGTGATGCTTAATCCGTTCTTGCTTGGTCGTTTTGCTCACTGCAGCCACCGGAACTCCGTCGCCGACGAAGCTTGCTCACCGTGATCATTGCCACCGTCGACCACGTCCACCGTAGCTCCTCCGGTCTTGTTCTTTGCTTCAACACGTTCGGGGTGAGTCACCGATCCTTTCTAAGCCTTTTGTTTGATCTCATCGGCCTTGTTTCACTGGCGTAGCGATGCCGTGCCACCGCGTCCCGCCATGGCTGGTGTTAGCCTTGTTCCGTGTCGTAATCAACCTCTATAGTGCCACAGGTCGATGCGCCTAGTCGTTGTAAAAGTTTTGGTGCTATGACTGTCATTATTTGGGCTCACCGGCCATGAAGTTCGCGTCGGTCAGCGCCGTTGTCGCCATGTGTCAAAGCCGAGCTTAGGGATGACAAGTGGGTCCCGTATGTCATTGATCAGATAGTTCAAATGAAATTTTTATATTTTCGAAATGGATGAATAGTGTCTGTTTTTGTTATTTTTGTGTAGATTTGTTTAGAGCTCCAAAAATTATGAAAATTTTTGTGTGACCTCTCTGTGATGAATATTATTTATGAAAAATATGAAACTTGAAATTTGAATAAATTTTTAATGTTCAAAAATTTAGTCAATTAATTGATAAGTGCAATTTCCATAATTTTTGTAGGCCACTGTATATCTCCAAAAATTATGAAATTTATTTTTGTACACTAATTTGTCATGAGGAAACTTACATAAAATTTTGAGGTCATTTGGAACAAGTTTATTTTTGGGCTTATTTCCAAATTAATTCAAAAATGAATAACAGCAAACCCTAAGTGTTAGGGTTAGGGTTTGATCTTGTTTGGGTCATGTTTTGTGACCAGTAGGGTTTCAAGATCAATTTGGTCAAGTCACCTAGGTCATAAACCCTAGATGTTAGTGTCAATTGGTTTTGATCTACAACTGTGTCGCGAAGGAAAATTGTATTCAAGGTGTTATTATATTTCATGCACCATGAAAGCATCATGTTTACATTATCATCATGTTGAAGCATATGTTATTATTTCGTGTAGAATCCAAGAGTGAAACGATTCTAGTTGAGCAAGTTGTGGAAGAATCCCCGGTTGTCACGGGATTCAATAATTATGGTACTGATCCGAAACCCGAGATCGTCAACGAAGGCAAGCCCCGGTTTATACATTAAACCATTACCTTGTTTACTTTGAAAAGTTTATCACCTATGTTACTTATTGCATTAAGTTGATTAATTCAAATGTTACCTATTTGATGCATTGCCTACCTTGTTAATTGTTTACCATCCTTGAATATGATTTCATTTACAAAGGCATAGAATTACTTAGTATGCTTTGTGGTAGGCTTTTAAAGTAAAAGTTTTGATATAATCAAAGATGGCATACTGGCCAAAGAAAGAAAGAAAGAAGATAGAATGAACTAGAGACTAGTCGGGTGGCTTATCTTGAATGTTGGGTAATGTTGTCGACTATGTCGCTTAAAGGCCACTCATTGTGGATCTTCTGAACGAGACACTTTGTAGTACTGGTCACATACTCCGGTAAGCCTACTTTGGCTAATCCAATACTAAGACGAATGCCCACGCACTGGGAGTGGAGAGATAGCGGGAGTAGCGTGTACCCTCGTGGCTGGAATGTGGCCGGATTGGAGGTGTGCTGTGCTCTCGGGTGGCGTGGAGATGACTTAGTATGGGAGGATCCGGTAGTGAGGTTGATATATGCAAGATTAAATTCTACATATGTCGTGTGATAAGGAATCCCCAGCTGGGACTTGAATCAATTCGAATTGCCGATGCTCCGCGGATATGGAGACTCGATTCATTACAAAAGCAATGTAGGACTGGTGAATTACTAAAACATGAGAAAAAGAATGGAATGAGAAGGATTAGAATATGAGATATGAACACTTAGTTGAGATAATGAACTAAAGTACTTAGGGGTAAAACTTGAAAATAGAATCAAGAATAGAAAGCTTTTGGAAAAGAACTTTGAAATCTTGCTACATCCTTACCTTGACCCAACACCTGCATCCCTAAGACCTTCGCCCCTTTTTCGTCGGGTCAGTCTTGTTGAGTACTTTTGTACTCAGAGTTTGTTAACCCTTGTTGCAGGTGAGTCACATGCGCAGGCTTGTTTTGGTCCCTGCTGCATGTCAGTGTTTGAAGTCGATGACGATGAGGAATGATGAATGGCCTTTGGACAAGGCACTAGTTTGTGTGAAACAAATAATGTTAATGTAATATTATCCCGCTATTATGGTTGTATGACACTTATGGTTTTGTAAGTTTGAAACAACTGGTTTGTAATATTAAAACTTAAGTCTTCCGCTTTATAATCTCTGGTATGTATATTGAAAACTGTTGTAATCTACAATGACTGTGATTGGGATCCTGTTGAGAAAAGATTCGTGGATGATTCGGGTTTCCCGAGGACACCCAACAGACCTGTTAAGTTGTTGGGAACTTGTGTACGCTATCTGAGGTCGGTTGTGACATCGATAGGTGCACGTGGGCCTGATTTCTTATGAGGTTCTACCACAATCGCGCTGCTGTCTGGC